CTTTTTGTTGCACTTTGAATATATTTCACACTTGATTTGTGGGCCGGGCCAAATGAAACGGCAACCAGTCTCTCGGCTGGCGTCTCGAATGCTTCGGCCAACGCCATTTTTCCACGTTTAGTTTTATTTTCTTCGTTCCCTCACTCTCATTGTGTTGATGATCTTGAAAATTTGACCAAATTAACACTGCATTCAAAATGAATCATTTAGTGGGAGAGTTGCGAGCATTTGCCTTTTATAGTAATACCAGCTGGATAGGAATGAGAAAACCCAGTTAAAGGTGAGGAATGAAGAATCCCAAGATTAGAAAAAATTAAAACAGGTCTGTGTAAGGTTTATAAATTGTTTCTGGATCAAATGAATAGTTTAGAAAAAAGTTATATGCTTCTGTAAATACTTGTAATAAAAAAGTATAATATTGATGAATTGTATGGTCGGCCAATAAAGTATTAGTAGGGGAATGGAATGGAAATGTCTGAAAAGACAGACTAGGAAAACAATATATACTTAATATATGAGTCACTAGTTGTCCATTATTTTGTGTTCTATGAATTGCTGAAGATTTTGTTTGAATTTTGTGTAGGAATTTAATTTTGAATGCTGTTGCGCAGGAACTAGAAAATGAATTACTTAATAAATGGCTGCTACACCGGACTCTAATCGCAGTTAGGCTTCCTTTACAAAATATTATGCAGGCCCGAAAGATTTAAGAAATCCGTAAATCTATTCTGAGCTTACGTTCAATCGATGATAGTAAAGTTCGGTTACCGCAGTTCGAAAAGTTTTCATCCAGACGTGCACATACGAGTACCACAGCAGAATAAATCCAGAAAGCCACATAATTATACTACAAGAAATTTAAGCGAAGCTTTCTTCTAAGATAAAACTGCTTTTTTAGAGACCCTTTTCATATATAATTCGAGACTAACCAATCGCTGGAGTGATACTTTCATGTTGGCGCATGTTGGTAACATTCGTGTTACAATTGAACTAATTATATAGCGATATCAATTAAAAAACTTCCATTTAGTCCCATAAATAAAAATTAATTTAATTACAATAAGATATTCAATTTGTTGCTTCACTTCTGTGAGAAATATTTTGCACCATTATTGTCAGTTTTGTACAAAACAAAGGCAAGAACATGTTCCAAATTAATTTTTATTTCTTATTTTATTTTATTTATTTTCCGAAAGTAACCAAAAAAAGGACAACTTCTTTTTTTTGTTAGAATTAATGAATTAAATTATTAACCAAACTATCTTTGGCATTAAAACAAAAACAACTTTTCAGTTTTGTAAACGAATGTTTTTTTGAAAATTTTACTTTTTATTGACGCCTAAAAGATAGATAATTTGCAGACATAACAATTCTATTATGACGAAAATAAATGCATTAACTAGGTAGAGAACTGAAATCTACTTAGGAGCTTCCTGACAACTCAGGCAAACCGTCATCGCAAACATCAATGTCAACAAATTACACAGCCAAATGGCGTTCAAACCACACCCAGGCTTCAATGACTTCCACCCCACTATACAACAACAACAAAAAACACAATTCTTCTGCAATCCTTTTGGCCGGCCAAGACGTTGCTGCTTCTACATTCTCGTAGGTCTCGGATGCATGCTTCCGAATCGACGTTAAATGCGGTGTTCGCTTGTATCAGAGCTCTGTAGCTGGCTTGTCCGCTCGACCGGGCCCTCCACCCACTCCTTGGCTTGTCAATAAATCGTGGACTGCCAGTAATGATGCCAGCCATCCGAGCAGCCAAATGCTTGGCAAGCGTCGAGCGGCGATAGCAGCCGTTAGTGTCAGACGAGTGAAAATATATGGCAGGCAACCTACCCCAGCTCCGAGTGCGGCAACAGTAACGAATAACCGACCATCAAGCAAGGGCTATGGCAAGCGCCCCGAAAAATGTCTTTAACTTTCGGGGGCTCCATAATGCTCGTTACCAGCGCCTTCGGACTCCTCGGTTCGCCCTTGATGATAATGATGACGAGCAGAAGGACGAGTAGACAACCGAAAGCAGGTCCTCCACTTCCGCCCAACCACCCCGACCGCAACACTCATCAACCGTTCGTCAAGTTTCGCGTTCGTATTTAGATGTGCGGTCGCCCAACCCTCGACTACACAACCCCTTAACAAACATCAACATCACCAGGAACCCACGCCAAAGCCATAGTTCTTCTTCTTCTTCTTTGGTTGCCGCCTCGGAATTGTTTCATGCGTCATGCGGCCGCCTACGTTGCAGCCCCTGTTCGACAGACTATATAGACTGGCCTAGGTCATTATGTGCCTGCCTTAGACTTGGGCTCATCATTTATAAGCACTGAGCGCCATTTCGTTGTCAGCTGAGGAAGGATTTACGCAAGTCGCCATCACCATCACCATCGCCCTGTGTGTTTGAGTGAATTATGGTCCTTGCTGATTTCTTTTTCGTCCCTTTTTTCGGGAGGTTCGCCTGCAGCAGGCAGTGGCGCACAGAAGCAAATTTATTGACAGATATAATTTCTTATGCGTATAATTAGAAATTCGGCAATCATTATGCGAGCCACATATATCAAGTTAATGGCTATCGCCTTTCTGCGCAGCTCAAGATTGAATTGCCAAGTGGACAAGTGGCTGTAGTCGGTCGGACAGATACCGCTTGAGGCCAAAAGCGAGCACACATTAAATTTTTTATAATGGGTGATGGGTCTTTTCATAATGGCTTCAGTTCGGTAATGCATTTTAGCCACATAGCCTATCTACTTAAATCTAAGGCAAATGAATCAATTCAAATGAGTGGGCGTACAAAAAATTGACCATTAAAGTCCGTAACTGCCCGAGCTAAGAGAGAGTACTTTGACAGTTTCCAAGCTATTGGAGGCCGCTAATAATGGGAGATTTTAAATAAGTTCCTCTACAGAATCAATCATAATGAATCAAATTATATCCATGAAATGACGTAATTTCATCAAAATTATACACCATGGAGGATATATTGAACTAAGCATTAGTTGCTTTTTAGTCAGACCCTATTAGATGAATCCCTCTAATAGCAAAGGGAGACTTTAAATAAGTTTCTCTACAGAATCAATCATAATGAATCAAATCATATTCATGAAATGGCGTAATGGTTTGAGAATTAACACCATAAAGGATGCATTAAACTAAGCATTAGCTACTTTCTAGTCAGACCCTATTAGATGAATCCCTCTAATAGGAAAGGAAGAATTTAAATAAGTTGCTGTAAAGAATGAATCATAATGAATCAAATCATATTCATGAAATGGCGTAATGGTTTGAGAATTAACACCATAAAGGATGCATTAAACTAAGCATTAGCTACTTTCTAGTCAGACCCTATTAGATGAATCCCTCTAATAGGAAAGGAAGAATTTAAATAAGTTGCTCTAAAGAATGAATCATAATGAATCAAATCATATTCATGAAATGGCGTAATGTTATCAAAATTATACACCACAGAGGATGCATTCATTAGTTGCTTTTTAGTCAGACCCTATGAGATGAATCCCTGCCTCTGACGCTGCCTCACTAGGAGAAATTGCCAAACATCTCTGACTATGAAAACAATAAAACACGGGTCGGAGGACCTGCAACTCCAGCTCCGGGCGCTGGTTAATGTGTGTGCCGCAAATTCAGGCAATTTCAACGTTTCGGCAGCGTCATCAGCCAACAGTGGCAACTGCCAAGCGGCCATACAGTTAGACAAACACACAGAGACAGAGAGAGAGAGAGAGAGAGAGAGAGAGAGAGAGAGAGAGAGAGACAGACCCTTGAGCTGATGATTCATATGCCGCGTCGTCTAAGCTGTTTCTAATGCCAAGAGCTGCCTTTGCCAGGCTGCGGAGCTGGCCTGTCGCCTCCGTACCCAACAGCTTCCACTCATTTGCTTGAGAGCGCCTTCGGCATATTTTTAATTGCCTAATTTTGCGTCTTGAGTGATGGGCACCCGCTCGTTCGCTCCGTCGTTCGTCCGCCTGTGTTGAGGGTTGCTCAGGCAAGGGCTAGGGCTAGGGCTATATCTCTGGTTGTTCGTTTCCTTCAAATGTGTTGTCGACGTCGTCGTTCAGCTTGATAAACGCGCCGCCCGTTTGGCATTTTAAAATTGCCAACATCCCCCACCACCCGGTTGCCAAACCATCGCTGGCAAGTGGCTTCATTTGCTGCCTTCGTCGTTGCTGTTGCCTTGCCGTTGAAATATTTTAGCGCACCCCCAAACGCTGCCGCATTGTCACCAACGCTCGCGGCAAATTATGGGACAATATTTTAGGCTAATGTTAATGTTTTCCCAAAAATTTTCTCATTGTGCCAGGGACCGAACACGCCGCGCTCGCACTCGCGCCCGCGCCCGCGCCTCCAGGCAAATCCGTTAAATTATTGAGCTGAAGGTACTTTTCAATGCGGTTCGCTGGCTTGGGTCGCCAAGCCGCTACCGCTCCTGCTGCACACTGGTTGGGGTTAAATGAACAGCGACACTTTTGGCTGCTGATGCTGATGCTGTTGCTGGCATTTCTCTGAGTCTAGGGCTCTCGGTATTCTTTATTTGTTGGCATTGCAATTTCGAGTCGCTCAGGTTCGGTTAAATGTTTCGGAAACGCGAAATGAATGAAAAGATGAATGAATTTATGTTTGAGTTGCGTGGCAAGCAAGTGGGAGTGAGTTGCAATCCAAACCCATTCTATATTGCTGTACAAATGTCTAAGTTATGAGAAGACTTATCTACATTTATTTCATAACAACCGACAAGACAGTCTTAATAAGCGACAAGAAAGGACGTTGATTCACCCACAATATGGGTAAAGCGTCGAAAAGGCATTACAACTTAGAAACCGAGGCGCAATAATAATTAGTTTCTACTTCTCTCAGCGAATTAGTTATAGGGACAGAACGCCCAACCTTCCTTATGGATTTGTCTACCCAAAGGATTTGAAATTTATATTGCAAGCAGGTTGCTCGGAAAGGCAGCTTCTAGCTTGTTTAAGTGTAACAATAGGTTTCCAGAACTTTATTAAACAAATATTTAATTTGGATAGTTGTTCTTTCACTTTCATTTTCTAGCAGCTTTGATAGTTCACCACCTGCATTTGCCGCAAGTAGCGATAGTTGAAGTCCTTGAGGCACTTCTTGGCCAGCGCGACCGTTCGGGCTGATGGCATTTCTGCATGTGTTAATATCATAGCTTGATTGTCTAGAAGACGGAATAGAAATGTGTTGTAAATAGGCGTTCGATCGAAAGACAGATCCAAGACAATACATACAGCGCTTTTGAATTTGATTATTGAAGCGTTTGATCTCACAGAATATGAGAACTGCGTAGTACTGGTAGTCGGTGCAGAGGAGCATGGGCAGAGGCAGTGGCGGTATGTACTCCAGTGGTGGATTCGTTAGATTATGCAAGACCTGGCCAAGGAATTTGTTGTCGCCCAGACAAATGACATCCTGGGCGAACGGCGGGTAGGCAGCATAGCGAAACCAACGCATCGGGAGCTTCAAATAGAATAGACTTAAGTGTCCTACTTGCTCCATCAGCACTCTCACTTACATTCCACAAATCGTAGTCCTTTTTGGGCAAAGGATGACGGCAACTCTCGTACATTTCCTCCCGCCATGTTTTCTCGCCACTATTAAGACTTAACAGTGCCAGAAAGCAAATGAAAGTTAGAGTTTTGCACATCTTTGAAGCGATGCAAACGAAATTCTATGGTCAACTGAATTCAAGTTCTCAGCTGGTAGGCCCTTAAATGGCAAAACCTTGGCTCTGAGGCACGACAAGTGCCTGGCCAGCTGCACATTTCATTGTAAATAAACAAAAATCTCTTTAACCAAATACCAAGCAACCTTAATAGCGTTTATGTTTGAAATCGATGCCACACGAGCTAATAATATAAACAAGGAATGGATAAATGGAAAGCAAATACTATCTTCATTACACTGAGAAAAGTGGCAAAAGTTAAAATTAAAAAATAAATAAATTCAATATCCAGCATAAGACATTAAAATAAAAATGTTGTTCTTCGAATAACAAACGCGAGACTTTTTAGAAACTTACAAAATATAATTCCAATGGGCTTATATACTAGTAATCAGCGAATCACGCGAAAAGTTTTTGCTAATTTAGAACCTTTTTCTTTCAACCAAACATGGATAAAAGGATTTAAATTTTATCTTAATCAACTAAGAAAATTGGCAGCACCCCCATTAAAAAATAATTCAATAAGGAACTAAAATTAAAATGTTGTTCTTCGTAAACTAAATTCTCGAGACTATTTGGAATCTTAAGAACAGGCTAATTTAATAATAATCAGCGAATCATCCGAAAAGTTGTTGCTATATGTAAACCGTTCTCTTTTTACCATTCTCTGAAAATCACAATGGACTATAATGTTGGCTATAGCTAGCAACAAATCTAAAATGTTTTTTAAATACAATTTTAAATACTGAAGGGGGCTCTCTAGATCATCTTTCAAGTAAAGTTCAATGATAGGACCGATCGACGCAAATATCATTCTTAGTGAACAGTCTTTTCAAAAAATATCTTAGAAAAATGATTGCTTATTACAATATTTAAACCAATAGTGCTATTTACAAATCTAATCATAATCTGAAGATCTATTCTTTTCTCATTGTGGGGTCGTTAACTGGCGAAAATATCCCTGCTTCGATACTGTTTGAACCTCCTTCTCGACTTTAGAAGATGTTGCTGAATAATAATAGTTTAATTGAATAAAAAAAACACAATCGTTTCAACGACTAACTCTATTTAAGTGTTTGGAGTTGTACTATTAACATATAAATATTGAAAAATATACTTGTATTATTTTATTCGTTTCTCTGCATAATTATAATTACTTATAAATAAATAAAAGTCAACTGCGAAATATGTATACATTTTCTTCACATCAACCGTCTTGGATTCAATTTATATTATTATATTAATTCATATTTTCGTAGAAAAAGCCCGATCCATAGTGGGAAAAAGTATCATATTATTTTCTTAAAACTTCCTTACAAAACTATTTTATGCAGATGAATTACTGTGTTGCCCACGCCCCCAAAGTTTCCTCGGCTTGCCTCTAAAATTATTTGAATGGCATAAGTTTATGTTTTTAATTAAATTATAAGTTAATTTTGCTTCAATATTTTAACTGCGTTCAACTGCATAAAATGCTTGTCAAGTTGGACCGCCAATTGTTTATTTTATTTTTTGTTCATGTCTTATTTAAATACTTACTTTTGACAACCAATGCCGGCGGTTAATTTTAATTGGATTCTGACAAAAAGGAAAAGAATCCTTTAATAAAATTAAACATCAAACATAGCGTGCAATTTTTGTCGTATTACGCTGACAACAACAGCAGCGGCAGGAGGAGCAGGAGCAGCAACATCGACTTCGGCAGCTGGCACAGGAGCCGGCAGGACAGATGATGAAGGCGGCGGGCGCAGGATTTAATTTAAAAACACGCCAGGCACAAAAACAGCAGCCAAAGATCAAAAGGCATCAAAAATTGTACAGCAGTGGCAGCAACAGAAAAACAAAAAGAGCAAAAGCCAAAAAACTGGCGGCAACGCAAACGGAAATCGACGCGCAAAAGGTTGCAGGTGTCATGTGACAAGGTCGACGGTGGGGGGAGGAGCAGGAGCACGCGCCATGCAAGTACAAGCGTGCCTGCGTGGGCGGCGAAGAAAGGCGAGGGGGAGAATGGGAGCTGGTGGCTGGTGGCTGGCGCCTGGAACTTGGGGGACGGCCAAGTTGGCGGCAATTGATTAAGCTGGCATTAAAAACGCGCAGAATGTGAGAAAATTGTGAGAAAGGATAGGCAGGGAGTGGACCTCGGGCTGGAGTCTGCGATGGCAGGGTGGATGGTGGAATTGTGCGGTTATGGAAATGGGGCCGTTGCCAAAATGGAGGCGCGCAAGTAAGAAGGCACACGGGGAATCAAATCAAAGTGTTGAAGCGGTTAAGCACTTGACTGAACGCGCGCGCATTTTGAGGCGTAGGCGGGTTAACTGCCACAACAACAACAGCAACAGCAATAACAACAGCAACAACAAAAAAAGCAAGTGGAAAGGTGGCAGCTGGCGCAACCCCTGCGGCATTTCGAAAAGTTTAGTTCCAGTTCAGCTCAGCTCAGGTGAGAGGGTTAATTTGTTGCGTCGCAGAACGTCTCGCGGCATATGCGCGCGCGCTTCAAATGAATTAGTCCCCGAAGGATACACAAAAATCATTAAAAGCCCAGAAAGAAAAAGTTGAATGAGCGTCTGGTGGCAACAGCGAGCGCCTTAAATTAGGCGAAGGCATAGCGAAAAGCGAGGAAAAGTTGAAAAAACAATTGAAGCGAGAGCACCCAGCTGCAGGTTGGCAAAGGAATGGATGCACCCACGTCCCACCTCCACACCTTCCACTCCACACCTCCACACCCAACAATGGGTGAGCCATTCGCCAGCCATTGGAGTGACAGCCTTGCCATAATTTTAAATCACGCCAAAAAACGCGAAGCCACCGAACAGCCAGAACCCAAGCAGATCCCATCGACGAGAAGGCATCGGCAAATGTCAGTGAGCTCCCGAAAGTGTTGTGCTGGGGAGGTTTGGGGTTTGCTTGCAACGTGGTTGAAAAAACTATTAAAGTGTTTTATGGAGCTCGAGACAAGCGAGCGCTGCTAGAAATAATGGCAACACGTTTAAACGAAAAACGTACAAGATTTAGAGCTTTCGTCTTCTTTAGGGTCTTTCGCGCCGTTTTTGCGGCCATTCCTTCAAAAGCGACTTTATCTCTAGGCGAATGGGGCTATGGGGAGGATTGGCTGTCTGAAAGTAATGTTATAGTCTCCGAATTGCAGGCATTGCAAATAGATTGCGCCAATCAAAGTGGTTTCAATAATTAAATTTAAAATTGTAAAAAAAAAAAACAACAAAATAAAAGGATTTATTCATGTGCCTTCGAATATCAAATGAGTTTTGGAAAATGTTGAGAGATCATCAATTGTAAGACGTGCTGATTATTTTTGCATTCTCTAAAATCATTAAATGCTTTATAAGGCTAGTTTCGAAATTAAATGAAATCCAAATTAATTAAATGAAACGTAAAAGGAATTGAGTTTTGGGAAAGAAGAAGTTACATAAAGGTTTTAATATAAATTGGATATAATTTGTCCCAAATTTTAAAGTCCTTTTCGAGCTCTTACTTAAAGTATTCTGAATTTTGACAAGTTACATTGAATGTTTATAAATATGATTAAATAATTTTCAGTCTTTCTTAAGAATTTATTAAAACCTAGTAACTGCTCTAATTATCCCAAAAAAAGTAAAGATTTCTATAATATTCAGTTCTTGATCATTATCAGTGTATATGATATGTAATTCTTGAGAACTTTTAATTTTAATCTCTTGGGCTACGAATATTCCCATACATATAAATATTATTCATTTTTAAATTGTTTGCAACAGCATTGCGGTCACATGTATTTGAAATGCTTTTTCATAAAAGGTTCTAAACCACTATTGAACGATTTTCGAAATATTGTAAGATATTTTTCAATATATTCATAAATAAATACTGAATACTGGTGCTCTTCAAGAAACAATTTCGCAATTTGAAGTCGACCACATATTTATTTTTATGGAGCACTCTTTCCTCTTAAAATGGAACTGAGTTTAATGTATTCAAGTTTTTCTGTTGATCCTATGCATAAATTATAAATTTCATAATAAATTTGGCCCAACCTTTGGAAAAAGCCTACGCCCTTGGACATAGCCTTGAAATATACTTCCGAATCGAGAAGAACAGACGGTAAAAAAGGTATAACGGTCAGCTAAGTTCGATTTTTTATGACTACTCTATACTCATGCTTCTACCTTGAGAATGGTCCTTTTTCCTCTGCAATAATCATAAAATAGTCAGCCACTTTGCGGAAAGTTCAATGTGTCCTTGTCCTTAACTAGAACTGACACTTTCACTTTTGCGGCTACTTCGGTCTCGGTATAATGAACTCGGCCAGAAATCTTGGCCGAAATCTTGGCCGAAATCTGAGCAAACAAAACGCCCCTCAGGTAAACAGGCAACACACTGTTAAAAACTGTCGCACAAATTAATTGTCCAGCCTGCTGGTTGCAAGAAGTCAGCAAGCGAGATAATTAAACCAACTACCTACCACAACTTTCACCGATTCAGTCTCAGTTCGATTCGCTCCGCAACCAGCACCCGCTCTCGTCGCAGTAATCCGCACTAATCCATCAAACTGGCCCACTGGCGACGCAATGTTGCAAATGCGATTTTTCCGGCAACTGCATCAGTGTCACAACATTTTACCCGACCTGTGCCGTTGCCATTGCCATTGCCGTTTCCCATACCCTTACCCTTACCCTTACCCGCTGTGAAAATGCGAAACGTGTGTTGGCACAACATTTGCACATTTGCATAGACTTCTTCGGAGACAATGGCGGAGCACGCCCTGATGCCTTAACAATTGCTTGCCATGCTACTCGTAAATGATGTAAAACCGGTCACTGATTTATGGCCTGCATTTCACTTTCGTTGTCCATTGTGAAAGGGATCTGCAGGCTATATAATACCAGTATGTGCGGAATACATACTATATATGGTGGTACGGTTCTTTTTATAATCTCCACACACTGACATCTTCTATTCAAATCGTGGATCGTGTTTACTTTCCATCG